TCATGGAGTATCTGTGGGTTTGAAGCACTCCATATTCGACAATTTTGTTTGTTTATCTTGCCGTTTAAATCGAAATGGGCCTCGTCAGACATGAAAAGACAGTTCAACATGTTTCCATCCTCTTCCACCATTTGAAACATGTTCTGGCAAAATTCCAAGCGAATCGGCAAGTCTGCAGCGTTCAGTTTGTTGGCCATTTGAATTTTATATGGGAATAAGTCCAATCCTTGTGCATAATTGACTGTAATGACTGTCTGCCTACACCCATTTGAGCAGATAGGCTTCTTGTCGAAACACGTGGATTGTTTCCTCCATTCGAACTGAAAGGTTTCGATGGTAAGGTCTTCTGTTGACTGTCCCATGCTCGTCAAAATTGTTTACAAGTCTCATTACGGTCCATCTGCTCGGAGGATTGTCGCCAAACGTGCTCCTATACTCTCTTTGAACCGAAACTACGGACTCCAGTGCGTGATACCGGCGGACAATCCAAATTCTTGTTTCAGTGTCCCAGTTATCCATTTTTGTTAAATGTAAAAGGTAATCTGCAAAATAAAAAAAATAAAAATTAACCAGATTCATTAAATAGAAAAGTTATTTAATTTTTTTTTTTTTTGGTAGCGGCTTTCATCAGCCACCCTGTATATAATATATAAATCGGTAGTCTGCATCCGCAATGGCCATAAGTACAATACTATTAGTTTACTAATTATAAAAGGTACTTCCAGATTGCGGCGGAGTCTTCATCACAATGTGTTTCCCGTCAACTGCGCCTATACAATGGGGAAATTTTAGGGCAATGTCAATCCACATCTGTTCGTTGTTTGGAACCTTGCAAATGTGTAATGTGATATCAATTTATATTTTTGATGTGATTGTGTATAGCTACCTCTAAATATTCATTTTTCAAAGCTTTGTAAATTGCATCGCAAACCTCCGGCACAAATATAGATATGGTATTCGGCGCAATGCGAAAGTCAACAGATAAACTTTTGAAGCTGTCTCCAGAGGCAAGGAAGCGAAGTGTAACCCCCAAATGTTCATTGGCTGGTATTGCTTTGCGCATATTGGTGTYAGTTTTTTTATGTTTGGAGAGTCTAATTCAAGAATATAATTAAAAGTGGCTTCGTTCATGCGAAGACAATTTTTAAACAAATATTTTTGATTGGTCACTTCACGAAACGTGCGCAGAGTTTTTGCATTCGCGCCGTCAGTACTTCTCAAACACTTCGCTTCTTCAATGTTTGTTTTTCTATTATTTGTTTCTTTTTTAATAACTAGGTGCACACAAATACACATAATTGACACTATTTTCTTTTTTCTTGATGAAGAAATCATTATATTTAAGATACAATTACGTTCAAATATATGGCACGATTCCGATTACTTTGGCGGAGGGGTAAAAAAACCGAATTTCCGTATAAATGGGGTATGTCCACATAGGGGAGCTTTTTAAAATTTTCACGATTAAAAGTTCAAAAATATGCACTAATAACACATGGTATTTCTCTATCTTTCATTAAATTTATTCACGTTTTTCACTCTGTATATTTAAATATACACTCTAAACATTGAAATAAGTTCACATTTTAATTTTATTTTATAACATTTCACCTAAATTTATTAATTTAAAAATCACTTAGCGAACTCGGTGTTGCAAAGGTTAGATTGTTTACAATTGTGAGGAAAACCAGCGCTGCCACATCTTAAACACCAAATATGTAGGATTCTTAATGAGTTTTCTTTGTTTTTATGCGTGATTCTTTTTTCTACATTAATTATAATAAAAAATACTTTCTAACATTTTTTAAGTTATAATTGAGCTGTGAAAACTTTTTGCATATATTATTCATTTTACATATAGTTTGTATATGTATAATATGTGATTTATATTTAATAAACACATATAATTAAAACTCTATGATAATATAGTATTATATAATTTATATAATATCATGTCGGGATGACTGAAGTACTTTCGCGGAGTACTCCTTTCTGCGTTAAAAATAAAAAAATATATTGAGTTTTTGTTATAAAGTGGTTAAAGTGGTTATATTTGTAGGTTACCATGCACTCATATTGAA